AGCATAGCAAAATGCCGTCTCTCTGGAATGAAAGGAAGACCCGGGGCCACAGCGTGACTCACTGGCTAGTAGATTAAAGAGTGCCAGAAAATGTTCGTGGGTACTGGAGCTCAATTGTCTATACTGTTAAATTATTAGAATGGTTCCTGGCATGAGTTATTCCAACCAGCCCTTCCCCAGACAGTTCCTAGGCGCAGGCAGTTAAGCATGGACCAAAGACATTCCCAATAAGTAGTTTGCATGTGGTCACCTTTTTTAGGAGGCTGAGAATTTAATAATATAGACATAGACCACTCTGTACTTGTTGGTCCCGGTGCCAAAGGAACATTTCCTGTCCCATTTAATTTCCTAGCACAGACATAGCTGCTGTGTTACAGTCTGATCCCTGCTTTGTTCCTGTAGCTGTGCAACTGGGCATTGGTCTGTACTTAAAGTCTGTGGCGAACCAAAATGTAGTCTTTTGTGTCTGTTACTCAACTCCATCCCTAAACCACTGTTTGTCTTTTTTGAACTGAATGCTATTCAGACAGCAACTATATTTGGAAAGGGCTGTGCATTGTGCAGATCCATTTAAATTAAGCAGTTATCCAAAAATGAAAATCTGCTCTGTAAAGTAAATGGAAATTAAATGTGACTGACACAATGCCTAGATCTTGTGTTAACATTGCTAGTGAGCAATTTTTCATTAATTTTTCACTAATTCAATTTTTCATCAGAAACAGGTACCACAAAGTGCAGGATTGAAACTCCTGGGGCTAGATGGTGCCAGATAGCAACATCTGTCTGGTATAATAAGACAGAAAGTTTGATTTCAAAATGAAGTTCTCTTTCTTCTTCTGACTTGAAATACAGCTCTTCCCTTGCTTCTCATTGAGCATATTTTCTTCTTTAGAGGGTCAGCCACAGCCTCAGTAGACTTTTGCAGATTTTCTTTTCCTTTCTAACGCCTCTCAGATACACATTTCATTTCTTTTCGTCATGAAGTGCTGCCTAAATCTATTGACATTAAATTGTTAGAAGCAGTGATCTGCAGCTACTGATACTGTTCTTACTTGATATCATCCCATCTTATGTGGGTAGTGAAAACATAAAATGTGCGCTGGAAAAGGAGCCAGAGTTACCTCTTTAGGTACATACTTCTTCCATATATGAAATTTTCTCCATCTTTTCATATGTAGCTTGATCTGGTAAATAAAAATGTATCCTCAGGACGGGCAGAGTAGGCTGAGAGGCTAAAGGGGAAAAAGGAGTTTATTTTTCCCAGGGGCATTTGGAGGCAATTGGAAGAAAAGAGGACAGGGTTTTAAATTTGAGGGAGCTTGGAGGTGCAAAGGAGCAGATGGGGAATGTGATGGAAGGCAGAGCATGTGGGACGTAGCAGGGCAGCAGGCTGTGTCCACTCAGGCATTTGCAGAGGAGTAACAGGGAATTAGGCATGTTTGGTGATGCTGTCAGGGTGGCCACTGGCTTGTGGCAGGCAGGGGAGAAGAGCCAGGAGAGAAGCTACTTAAATGACAGGACTAAAATGCAACATGGTCGCTAAAGTCTACAACCTCCAAAGTATTTAGGAGTCTTGTACTGAATTTAGGATCTCCATCACCATGTGAGCATGAACCCCTTTTCCTACAGAACAATCACCATGTGCTGCATTTCATGTGTGTCAGATTTTCAGGAGAGACAGAATTTAAGTGAGATATAGTGATGGAGATGCTTACTTTTTAGGGACTTCATCAATCAGCTCTCTGTCACGTGCACTATCACTCAGGGAGACCCAGGTCTCCCTGGTGGTGTGGCTTACCTAAGTAAAGCGTTTTTTCGCTCAGAACTGTGCTTAAGAGGAAATGATGATGTGGTTGTTCAGCCTCACCATATCCTGTGTTCGGAATAATTTTCATTTCTACTTCTCTGCAAATGTTCATGGAGTGTCCACAAATATTTTCTTGGTTTCTATGGTAAGAGAGAGTGTGAAACTGTGTCAAAACCACTGCATCATCTGCATCATCCTGTGCTTTTCAGGAGAAGACCATGACCACAAGAGGAGTCATCTGTGGCATTACTTGTGTGCAAACTGACACTTAGTACATTTTGATCCCTTTCAGGTTCACATTTTGAAACACAGACTTGCATGTTACAAACCATAAAGGTTACTTGATCACTTCTATAATGACGCATTAATGACAGAGTATGTCAGAACAGCTCGACACAGGTTACTTCCTCTTTGACTATAACGCAGTTAGGCATTAGCTGAAATTTAACTGTAAGTCTTTGGAAATCTTTTTTTTTAAAAGGTGTAAGTTTCCAAATTACTCAAGTAAAATCTTCCAGTCCCCTGTGTCTGCATGCATGGAGTGTAGCAGGGTGCAAATGCTTGAGGAACTGTGCCAGTAAGGGGTCACATGGGAGAAGCAGTCAATGTGCTTCCACAGCTGTCTGAGAACAGCACTGTTCCTCTGGGCAAGCACAGGGACCGGGCACGATCCACGATGCTCCTCTCAGGAAAGGAGCAGCTGTCCTCTGCCATATTTCCCTGGAGAGGATTCCAGTTTGGGGTGTACATTGTCAGCAGTATTCAGACGGTCTCATAACCACGCATCCCCCAGTTCTTTGCCTGTGAGAGTGCAAAGCCCTAATGTTGCAGGGCTTGTGGGATTGGAAAGATTAAATTACCCTTATACTCCATGTAAGAAGAGCTGTGTGGATCTCAAATCAAGAATCATGAGGTTTGGTGGTATTCCCACAGATCAAAGATCACACAGCTCTTCCTCCTGACACTACACCCAGCTGTTAGCAAACAGTAATGGACTGAAATTGTTATATCTAATTTCTCAAAGCAATATTTCTTCAATAAGCTTTTCCACAAATGTACTGAGGGAATAAAAGTGTAGTTCAGCTTGAGAGGTATATCTGCATTAGGAAAAATAATGTGTTTAGAAGGAATTCTGTCTGACTCAGATAAGGCAGCTCCAGAGAGAATCCCTGACCTTCATTTACCTTTGTTGTCTTTCCCCTTGAGTGAATCTCTGAAGAAATTTCTCTGTTTTTTATAGAGAGAAGTGTTTTTGAAAAGCATCACTGGTATGGTAGCAAATCAGGAACAAGATAAATGGAGCTAAATAATGCCCAACTTCCACACAAGAATCTGTTTCTGTGGACAGGTATCTGGAAGTGTACCTTGCCAGTGCAGTACTTTGCACTGTATTATTGAACCGTTTCAAAGACAGATTTTATGAATAAAGATCAAAGTGTTTGAAAGAACCGTTAGCAAATATGACCACTTGTGCAAATATCCGTGAACCTCCCTTCAATAGCCATTCAGTGGTTCCAAAGGCTGTCAGGGCATGTAATGATTATAATAAATGTTGTATTTGCTTTTGTTTCAGCTGGCTTTGACCAGCAAATTCGGCTGATTACTTCCATTGTTATTTTTCCTTAGAAGACAATTATATTGTTATCATAAAAAGCCCACTATTCGTACACATTTCTTTCTGTTGGTCTTGAAATTCAGAACTCACTTATCCTAGTTAACATAATTTTAGAAGTTATATTCATTCTTATATTTTTCTTTGTTTCTGTCCTTGTTTCTTCTCAGTGTTTTTGCTTTTTTTCATGCTCTTCCTGAATACTGCTTTTCCCACCTTTGTGTTTGTTGGAGAAACAACCCAATAATTGTTGAGACCTGCCCAGCCCCAGATTAATAGTCAAAGGTTTACATTATAGCACACACTGAGAAAATATTGGTACTTAACTGACAGTCATGTGTTGTTATGGCTGGATTATAACTGTATTCAGGAGCAGAATGCTCCTGTGGCTCTGAGATTATATTCTAGGAAGATAATAGTTTATGTCGGACTCTGCAGAAGCTCCTTGTGTTCTTCTGCAAATATACTGAAGATACAGTCACCCTCATCTGTATTTGGTCTACTTGTGGGAAACAAAAGGATAAATATAAACCGTCCCATCTCTGTTGTGAGTCCAGCAGGACTCATCAAAGTACACCAAGAGAGCAGTGCTGATAAAATTCCCACTGGATTTCTGCAACATGTCGTGACATAACCACCGAGACAAGAACAGCCTAAAAGCAGGCACTTTACATAGCATATGTCCGTGGGAAAGAGTGTATCATTTGAAAATACATTGTGAGAGAAGTTAGTGCTGGTCTAACCGACAACACGTGGGTACAACTGTAAAGGTCAGGAATCTGCCAGGAATTCCTGTGCTGCATTGCTGCTGTTGAGAGTTTAGGGTTCCTCTGTATGCAAGGAAACCACAGTAGACAGCACTTACGCCTGCGGTAAGGGACAGCTTTGGGAAGGGTTTGACTTAATTTGTATCCAGCTGGTAAAAAAATAAGTTATAATTTCTTCAGTTTCTTCAGAGAGAACTTTTGAGACAGGTCAAACGTGTTTATCCTGATTGGGCCATGCACTTGAGTTGATCCCGTATCTTTTACAGAAAATAGTACATAATAAAGGGCTGAGGACAGAGCACACTACAGGTTCTGATTTGTTCTATGGGTAAACCCACAGTAGCTTGTTTTTTTTACACTTTGGCTCTGATGACTACATATAAAGGGTCCACAAAAGTTGTTTTAGCAAAACAAGGCCTTCTTCAATACACTAACATTTGCTCTATTTAGATTCCAAATCTCTACTGGAAAGTGTTTGGGGTCTGTAAGCTGCAAAAGCTACAAAGAGTTTCTGGTAGTGTGCTGTGGTATTGAGATGTCACACCAGTGCTGTACTCCGATATTTTCTTGTACCCTGAACCACACTGTTCTGGACAAGAAGTGGTCTCACTTCCTGAATCATCATCACTGCAGCTATCCTTACTGAGATTTTCCATACAGGACCCTTTTCTATGTGATGGCCGAACCCATTTGCCCTAATACGTGAGTTTTTACAACATGGATTAAACTAATTGGAAGTTGTGCATACAGCACTCATGAGGTTGTAATTCTACAGCTAAGCGTGATCTCTCTTCTGGTTTTTTTTGTTTTACAGGTTGTTACTTTGTGGTATAGAGCTCCTGAAGTCTTGCTTCAGTCCAGTTATGCAACGGCAGTTGATCTTTGGAGTGTTGGCTGCATATTTGCAGAAATGTTCCGTCGAAAGTAAGAAACACAGTTTTATTTTCTTTGTGCTTTTCATTTGAAAAAATGTGTAGTAATGCCTGTTGCAGTACACTCAATCACATTTATATTGGAAAGGTCTGATAGGATGTTTTATTTATAGTGCAAAATAGAAATGCCCACTGCAAATTCATACTTGTTGCCATCTTGGAGTCTCTTTTGATGGGAGTCTGCCTCAGCTCTTGGTAAAGCCTATATGAACATTGTTGTACTCCTGTTGCACCTGAATCCAAATCCAGATAAAAATGGGGAAGAGAGGCTGTTACCAATTTGAGTAAAGCTGTATTGTGGGAAGGATTTACCCTGAGGAAAATGGGATACTGTGGTTGGCATAGTCTTCTTCCTCTGTAGTTCATGCATTGGAGCATCAGGTGTTGGCTTGTAGTCCCATCTTGCCATATTTGAGATCTAAGAAATCACTCAAAAGTTTTTCTGGAGGTAAGGAACAGAGGTAGGATTTTTTAAGAGCAAGTTATGTAGCCTGAGGGTAGGGTAACAGAGATGTTAAATGCAGTCAAACACCACCACCACCCCCATCTTGCTGCAAAATATTACAGCTGGATGCAGATGAGCTGTGAATGCAAGACAAACTCTTGTGTACTGGTCTTTCCCCATCGAAGGATGCTAGTATGAAGGTTGTACCATGTAGAGTGTGGAGAGGAACAAACCTGTAAGAATTTTAACAAGGTAAACCTGTCTTGCTGTTAACCCAATTAAATGCATTTGGATTGAGCTTATGGCAAAAAGTGCATGTTGTCATCACCTGGGTGATCTCTATGTAGAAATTGAATAGCCTTTTGTAACACCCACTGCGAAGTCAAAGAATATACAGAAAGAAAATGGGAAAGAAAAATATACACTGTGTGACCTAAAACCCAGAATCAGTACAATTTACAGGGAGAAGCAATACTGCAAGGGCCTTGAGAAACAACTGTTTAATTTATACAGTGTGAAGTTCAAAATACTTGAATAATTGAAGTCTTGCAAAATAACTTTGAGATTTCACTGCTTATTAATATTATATGGACAACTCATTTTTCTTGGGCCTCTTGCCTGGTCAGATGGCCTGGGTAGAGTTATTATACTCCAGCCTCTCTGTCTCTGACTTAGAAATGAGGTCAGAAAATGAGATAAAACAAGAACATGGCTTTTAGGAATATCAGTTAAACCCTCCACTGCAAACTTTTAAAGATTCAGTCTTAGCCCGTATACTGACAGATTCACAGTAACATTAAGCTGCTGATAGTTTTTCTGATTCAGATAGCAGAATCAACAGCTTCATTTTAGTGTTTGCAGTAAGAGTGATACAGGACAAAAGAATACAGAACTTTATTACATGCTCAGAACTCTTTTTTTCCCCCTCATTTAATTTGAAGTATTCTGACAGATAAGAAATATTGCCATATACAAGCACCACCAGTTTAATTTCATTTTTCCTCTTTAAGGATGTATGAGCCTTGCTGACTCTCTAAATCCAAAAGAGTAAATTAAATTAGAGGCAGTTTATTTTTCTACTTGTATACAAATGTAAATATTACATTAATATTACAGAATCAGAGCTTTTTTTTTTAATGGAAATGAGATCTGATATGAACCACAGTTTGATAAAACCAGGACTTCTATTTTTCTCACCAAATGTAGGGTCAGTCTGACATTCTCAGTCTTAAATTTGGGTGACTGTCAAAAACTGTAGACATCAGGAATCTGTCAAGTCTGTATGTACTATGTTCTTTCATTGCAAACAATATGACTTCCACATACTTAAGTGTACAAGCATGATTTGGAAGACTGTTCTCAAGGCTCTTTGCCATAAAGCTACAGCGAACAGCACTGAATGGTATCTCCATGGACTGTTGTGAGGGGTTAATGTTGCAATACTGTCTGCATGATATATGTTGTCTTTCTGATTCTCCTGATGGATTGCAAAAGAATACCTATGTTCCTGTGTCCTTGGTGGCAATAAGCTAACATTTAGCAAACTCCAAAAGATTGAATAAATGCAATAGTGATTTTGCTGGGAAATGGTAGTGCCCTTGGGTAATCACCAGTCTGTATTTCCAGTAGTGTTGGTAGGATAAGAGTAGGAGAATGCTTGCTTAGTAGACATGGGTTTGATATTAAGACAGCCTTTTCTTTTTTCTGTCTTACTGGGTACTTGTCGCCTTCCTTCCCTACTTTCTTTTGCTTTCTCTTTGAAAGAACTTGAAGTTCTTCAGTACATTTTTAAGAAAATGGGCTTTTTTATATCCCAGAGACTTCACTGGAACGGCCTTCAAAATAAAACACTACACAGCATCGCAAAACACATCTAAATCCTGTTTATGTCAAGGAGGCAGTTGACGGTTTGAGTTTGCTTGAATATAGTTTTGTAGGCTGTTACAAACACCGTGAGGGTGCTGTAGGTTTAGACAAGTGGAGGAGAGAAGTGAGCTCTGTTTGAATGGTCCAGTCTCTTGACTGGAAGACAGCTCATTTAATTTAAACCACTCTTAATCCAAAACAGTTTAAGACAAATGCAAACAAAATATTTGTTTAAGAAGTAGATCCGAAATACACAAAAGTTTATAAAGGACTCAGACACAATAAATAAATAAATAGATCTCTGTCTAGACACACCTAGAGTAAATTTGAACATTTTTCTCATCTTGGCTGATTCAGTTAAAAAATTACACTTCTCAACTCTGTTCTTTCTGCAGTCTGAGGTTTGTATAAAGTTACAGCTACTTTTAAAGCACACATTTTAATTTTGATGCAGTTTTGTAGGCTTTGCAAAGATGAATGCATAAACGTTGTATCCTGAAACTCCTCAAACAGATTCCCAAGGATTCTACTCTACTTACAGATCAGCAATAAATTGCTCAATAGTCAGGTATATGTGTTATGTACAGATAAACTATTCTGCTTTGTGTGCCTTTTTCTGTCCATGTGCACTGCTGATGAGACCACCCCCACATAAGTCATTGTTTGAAAATTTCCTTATATGGTAGTTTCAGTTTTTAAATTTCCTGTCTAATTAAGCAGATTGCAGTGACTTCTAAATACATTTGGATGAATTGTCATTATCTAGTGAAAGTGTAAATGTAATTGTCATAGTGACTGTTTTCTTTGTGATTTAAAAGCTGTGCTGCATGGATAGGAATAACCAGTAAGGAAAATTGTAAGGTATGCTGTGGCTTGCTACCATATCACAAAATCCTTCAGAGATAGAGCTGGCAGTACTGACAGGGGGCAGCATCCTTTGGCCCCTTTTTTTTTTCTTAATGTTTAGGTAGAAATAAGGATCACTTATAAAAAGGTTTCATTTTAAGGCTGAGCATTTTCCAGGCCAATAGGAAGGGGCTTTGTACCTCTTACTCAGTGAACACCTCATTAAAGAGAAAGGCAAACATGGGAGTAGCATCCACTTCTGTCTGGATACACAGAACTCTTCCAGCTGGCTCAAGAGCTGCAGGCAGCTCCTAAGCAAGAAGCCATGACCAGTGTTTTAGGGAAGAAGGGACTGTCTGTCTTGTTGCTTTGATTAGGTAATACTTAGTCAAGGTGAATGAGTGTGAAAGGGGAAAAAGACTGGAATCTGGGTGAAATGCTCTATAAAAGGAAGCTCGGATCACCAATCTTGGATTTTCTTCTGAGTAGGGAGTCTTGAGAAAAAATGTCAAAATGTTTTGATGCTTAGTTCTTAGTGCATCTGTACATGCCCAGTTTTCAAAATCATAATCCTATATAATTTCAATCCTGCAAGTATTAGGATGTTGTTAGGTGTGCATGTGGGACTAATGAGTCAGATCTCTATATAACAATTCCAACTAGGCATGTTTAACTATAATATTACACAAGCAACTGAGTTTGTCTCCCTTTGTAGTAAATATGGAGCTAAAATTCATCGGAAGAGACCATCAGTTTTTATAGTCTATTCACAACTCACACAAGCTGGTTGAAGAAGTCATATACGGGAGAGTGGCCAGTGTTGTGACTCCATATGCAATCTCCACAAATGTTACAGACACCAATTCAAACCCAAAACTTGAAAGACAGTCCTCTCCCAAAAACCTTTTCCACCTCCCCAAACCAAAAGGGAAACAATATTATCTCAGTGCCCCAAGCTTCGTCTGTCTGAGAGGGAAATTAATTCCAGTCACATGGGTTTCTTACTGAGACCGTTCACACACCAGCTCCATGGTGGTTTAATATCCTGCTTTTGGTAAGATGATCAGTCCCAGAAATTCATAAGCCACAAGATTGACACAAATAGCATGAGGTTATTATTTATTCCTTTTTAAGTATTAAATCATGTTTTTAGCAGTTGTCTCATTTTTCAGCCTACTCTGTCAGTTCCTAGTATATGTGAGACAGTTATTGCATTACCAGCCATACTTGAAAATTGAAGCAGCAGATAAGAGACATGTGACCCCACCAAAATACCTATGATGGGACAAGTTCTCTGGTGGACACAAACAGCGGACATAGGGAAACAAGGTATTGGCATATAAGTCATCTTTCAGTGGTATAAATTCAACCAATTAGAGGAATTATATTATTTGTATAGAAAAAAATGTGAGCCTGGGACTTTTTTGCTCTAAATGATGTCTACAGATGTGATAAAATCAAAGCTTAGAGCCTCATCTGGTGATGCGAACACTGGATTTGGGACCTACAAGCTGCGTGTAATCATAAAATATCAGGTTTAAAAAAACTAGAAGTAATTTATATTCATTCTTAGATACAATGTCTTACAGTATTGAGTAATTCTAAAATGTCTAAAGCACTAAAATGTAGTAAATCTTTATTCTCCTTTCCAAACAAACCATAGGTTGTTAGTACAGTTTGAAATGCAGCCGTCAGATCCATTGCATGTACTTTTTCTGTCAGCTACAGAACCCAGTGGTAGGATGGGGCTCTGAAAGGAGACCATAAGAACAGTATGGCCAGCAGGACTAGGGAGATGATTGTCCCTCTGTACTCAGCACTGGTGAGGCCACACC